AAGCTCCGGTGCAGCTTTAAAAGGTAGTTTGAGAGAATAAGTGCAGGCCTGTAATCTTCTTGACTAAGTAAGTTAAAAGATTCAATAAATCAGTGGCATTTCAGTTACCCAATATTATTAACATTGTATGAAAGTTAGTTTTTTTGGATTGTAACTGGAAGCACTGTACATTTGTTTTGGTAATGTTGACCATCATTAGACCTATGCCATGAACAAAGACTGGCTTTGACGGCTGAGCCTCTCATGTAGATTTACAAGACCTATTTGACTAAAAAAATAGTAATAAAGAATAAGATGGTAGTAGTTTTGTTGTTTATGATATACTGCACTGCTACTGTAAATCTTTTTCCCTGAGTACATAATAGGTGCACTTTAGTGCCTCCAGATGTCTGAGTGAAGCTTTCATCCACTTAACAAGCACTGTTTTCTCCTCCCTTCCTCCGTTTTGGCTTAGGCTGTTAAATAATTCATTCTAAGCAGCAGATAGCAATGGACAATGATATTTTCATTTCCTTTGATAATCTGGGAAGGGGAAGTCTACATTGTGTTGTTTTGCATTCTTAAAAAATCTAAATTTCTAGGTGCAGGTGTGTATGCCAAGGGCAAAATCTTTTTGAATTGATTATTTTCTTCAGGAGTCTGCTAAGGTAAAAATTTGCTTCTATTACCAGCTTCTGGGCTTCTGGTTATCCAGAGCCAAAACAGTGATATCACAGTATGTACACATGACTCTGTGCTGCCTTATCACTAATTGTCATTTCGATTGTATTTTGCACTCGTGCATAATGTAAAAAAACTGATTATCCTATTGCCAAAATGTCTGGCCTCTAGAGAAGGGGAAACAAAGGCAATAATAGCTACTGCAGTCATTCAAATAGCAATCTGGTCATGATTTACATTATTTTAATTAAGGTGAAATATGTAAGCATTGCAACAAAGCATAAGTAAATAAAGTGCTGCTGGAAAATTATAACAACTCCATTTCAGGAATAGTAAGGAACATAATTGTGAACTCCTGAGCTCTGTATCATCTAGCTATATAAAGCCTGGATAAAGCCCTGAGTAACTTGGTCTAACCTTATGGCTCACCCTGCTTTGAACAGGAGGTTGGATGAGATGATCTCCGGAGGACTCTTCCAACTTGAATTTTCTTGTGATTCCATAACCCCTTTCAGGAGGAAAAAAATCCTGTGCACTAGATATTTTAAACGTAGTAGTTGTTTTTTTTTTTTTTTTTTAATATCAGAAGTAAACTGTTGCTAAGGGAAAAACGAGGAGAAAAGAAGAAACTCCCAGAACTGTTGTTAGTGGTCAGAAAAATCACAGGGTGACTCTTTAGCCTAGAAGCATGACTAGGAGGCCTCACAACGTAGTCCAGTACAGAACACGTTTCAGAGGTATTACAACAACTTCCAAGCATTCTATTGCTTTGGAAAGATGTTTTGGAAAGATGTCGCTGTTGGGTCCACACCCTCTTCATTTGAATAAACACGACTGCTGTTTTGGGTGGCTGGCAATGGAACAAAAAGTTGCTTTTTGAACACTGTGAATGAATTTCCTATAGTGGCGTTGCTGAAGGACTAAGTTTATTTAGACATTGGCTTATTTGGTGATTTGAAATGAGACCTTTACTCAGGTCCTTAATAATCCAGATCAGACACCTAACCCTCCCTTCTTTCCTGTAGGCAGTATGTGGTGAGAGTTAGTCCTCAGGGAGAGACTACTGGTATTTCCCTGTGTCTAAAGTAAACATAAATGGCAAGTCTTATAAATAGTTTGAGTGTGTGTGTTTTTTTCGTAAATAAATCTTTAATCAAATTGTGTCTGTAGAACTCATTTTAGCCACTACAGATGCTGATTTGGTAAGAGACAATTTGAGTAACAGGAGGTTAACTGTCATGGTACGTGATTGTCAAGATGGATGTCATCTTTACTCGAAATAACTCTTGCTTCTTGATGCCATGGTAGAGCTGGCTGGAAAGTAAATGTTTTTTCCCCTCAAAAGGAGGTTTCCATTTTTATTAAAAACAAACAAACAAACAAACAAACCAACCTGCTTTAAACACAGCCACAATTTTAGCTGTTCACCAATTTCCAGAGAGAAAGTTTGCTTTTCAGTTTTCTTTAAAAAAAGGAAAAAAAAAACAAGAAAAGAAAACAAAAAAAAGCTTTGTCTTACAAAGAGATCATCTCCTGAAAAGTTTTCCATTTTAACAGCTACTTTTAATTCTGTCTTTCTTTTTTCTTTTTTGTCTGTTATTGTTGACCTTTTCTGGAGATGCCGAGATAGAGGAAACCAGGACTGAAATAAGATACTCTCCACCATTGTTAGATGCTTTTCTTTCTCTCTTGCCAATTCTATTTAATCTCTTTGGGAGCAGATCCCTGCTCTGTCCTTTCTGGGATACATTCCTCTTTGTGTATGATTTTGGCCCTTTGGCTCAACAGCAGCCTAATGGTTTTTTGTTAAACTTCTTGGAGATCACATAGTCTGATCTTCTGTATATCATGGAATACAGAATTTCAGCAAGTTGTACCTCTGTTTAGCCTAATTACTTGCTGACACTTTCAAAAAGTATTCAGGTTTGATGGGAAGACTTAAATAGAAGAAACTACCACTTCCATTGGTAGTGTCTTCCAGTGGCTAGTCTGTCTCGCTGTTAATAATATGTCTTATTTCTTTTAACTTGAATTTGTTTGGCTTTAACTTCTGACCATTAGTTCTTTTTACACTTTTCTCCACTAGATTAGTACATGTTATTTTCTTCCTATGAAGGTGCTCGTACCTGTCATGAAGTCCCTTCTCAGTCTTCTCTCTGATAAGTTAAAATATGTATCTCTCTAGTCGGTTATTTTAGGGCATTGTTTCCATGCCTTGAATTACTTTCGCATAAGATGGGGGAAATGAGGTCTGTTTACACTATGAATTACATTCAGGTCAGTCTACTTTTAAAGGAAAGCTGCCACTGCCTATATGGAGACACTGATTTATAAAACAAGCTGCTGTACTAACATCTCTTTTTGTGGATAGCTGAATTTAGTAAATAACTATTATAGAAGCACATATGCCTTTAAAAAGCCAGTTTTTATATACTTAATTGAAAGTGAAGTTATAACATACGAATGCGTGTACTTCAGAAAGCAGTAATATACTGCTTCATGACATTATGGAAACACTGGTTTTAGAAATTCCTTTTTTAAACATCATAATTTAAATTTACAGTTTAATTGTAGGCTATAGTTTAACATAATGGAATCCTTAGGGAATTTTTACTTTCTTTAAAACGAGGCAGTGTTAACTCACACTAACTGTTTAATAAAAATGAGTTTTTCTTGGCTGTTTCAGCAGTATTTACAATGAAGGAGGGGTGGCCCCGACCTTTTAAAAACCCTCAAATGGCAAAGGGAATGAGCTTATAAGAAGGTTAAGAATAAGAAGGTTAGTGTAGTTTGGTAAATGGGATTTTATGGCATACAATTGTAAAAAGTATTGCCCAAGAAAAACAGATTTTTGAGGACATCCTGACATCATTTGTAAAAGCTTTTATTTTCTCTAACTTTTATAAAAAACAGCATGGTTGAACAGATTTAACATATCCCCACTGTATGACTGAACATTTTACAGAGAAAAATGCTAAAACAAAATAAAATGAAGACATAACTTCACTTTGCAATAAAAGGACATTATGTGAATCTACTTCCTAAAACATATTCTGCTCATATGTACCAGATAAGATACAGTATGCCATTTAGAGTAAAGCTCTCACTGGAAATAGACAACCAGGCCATAGCCTATTTTGTGCGTGAAGGGTTTTATTCCACCTGACACGATTTTCAAAGTTTCTGTTTTAAGGGGAAACATATTCCAAAAATGTCTTCTGTTGTTAAAAATCAACACTTATTATAATGATTTTAATTCTGTAGAACTCAAGTTGTCCCAAGTCCTGTTACAATATTAATGCTTTTTCAGGCAGCTGGAACCTTCTCTATATTCCAAGACTTATTAAAACTCAACACAAATACTTTAGATAGTGCCTTATAATATTCCTGGGTGGAAGCTGGAGAATCCTGCAGATTTTAAAATGTTCCATTTTAACAGTTGCTGTGTAGCAAATTCCTTTTGGTATTTTGGTGCTCAGCAATATGACTAGAAATAATTTAACTTTGAAGAAAATTCTGGATGGAAAGTTAAGATTTTCTGTCTCAAGAGCAGCATCTACTTTACTTTGTTGACTTTCTCTTGTAACAGTAAATAATCATTTGTAGATTTCCTCGTCAAACTTCCACATTTTCCATAACATCATTCCTTTAATTCCCCTTTCAGAACCTCATTTCTAAAAGTGAATCTCTCAATACCATGTGAAGTCTTAACCATGATATCCTTATGCATTTGATACATTTCCTAGAAGAGAGCGCTTTACTTCCTCTGGGTATTGCAGAGCAGATGTTTAATGTAGTGCAATAAAAAAATATCTACAGCCCTTATCACATTAAATTTTCATAGGTATAAGTGAAAATTAAAATGTATTCAAGTATTTTAATAATAAAATAAAAATATTTTGAAGATGCAAATATTTTATTCCAGGGTAATAGGCTCTTTTTTATGCTATAATAACAAAGAAGCAGCTTCTCTCCTATTCAGACATTAGCACTGCTTGCTTGTTCTCATGCCAACCTTTGAACAAACGGAAACAAAATCTGATACCTTCAAACAGGCCCTGATCCAAAGCTTGTCAAAATAATGTCCATCTTTGGGTTTGATTAATTGGTTTCTCAATGAGGACACTTAAGGTTGTTATCTCATATGCTCTACATCGACAACATGTACTTCAGCTATCTATCTGGAATCTCTTTGTAGTTATTTAATAGACTAATAGAAATTGGTACGTTCAGGATGGGATTCATCTGATGACTGACTAATTTAGAGGGCCGCTTTTGAATGTATGCTCATTCATATATAGATATCTTAATAAGTCATGTGAATCTCATCTGAAAAGTACCTTGTCCATTGTCTATCTAGTGAATTTAAATAATTAGTTGTAGGCAATAGCAGAGTCCCCATTTGGCCAGGTGAATTCTACTCATTATGTCTGGAGTAACAGTAAAAGTTGGAAGTGAACTTGCAAACAACTGCATTTATCAAGAGAGATGTCTTCAGGTGCTAGGAAAAAACCCGGACCAGTTTTTCATGAAACTCCACCCGGATAGCTCAGGGCAAGTTTCACTTAGTGGCACAACCTCTGTCAGCATAAAACGTGTTGATGGATTCCATCATCAGAGCCAGCATCTGAAGTGTTATTATCGAACATTTCCGTGAGAGCTTTATATCCTGTGTTCCTTTCAGTAGTTTCAAGCAAATGCAAATTCTTCAGGCTTATACCTAAGCAAGGGATCTGCCCTCCTAATACCACAGAATGATCTTCTTTCTACCTATTTTTAATATTCATTATAATTCTTGTCCATTCACTATGAGCAATAAAACAGACTTTTGCTTCCTTCCTAGTTCCATGAGTTGATGAATCACAGTTTCTTTTAGGACCTTATCCAACGCCTACTGAGATTAATTAAAGATTTACTCATCACCTAAGTGAGCTTTGTCGCAGGCCTTGAGTTCAGTGACGCATGGGCTACTGGCTAAGCTTTAGAAAAGACAAGAATATTGGCCAGGAAGGACTATTGCGATCTTCTAGTTCAAATATCTGCGTAACATAGCTCTCTGAATTTGACTCATTTGATGGAAACCTGCTTTGTTTGCACCAGAGTCCAGTTCAATGCTGCCGAGTCCAGCTGAATGCCTGACCTTCTAATGCTAAAAGCAGGAAAAGGCATTGACCATTCAAGTCCTCACTGAGGTATTAGTTGTTGAGATTTCCTCCACTATTTTAACTCCTGTAGTGATTAGGTTTTCACATTTACCATATCACAGTACTATTTTCTTCATGTGATATTAGACAAAAGCAGACCTTGCCACACATGTATTTATTTCCATCTGATCTTTACGCCATTAGTAGTGTTTGCTAGGTCCTGGGATCCAAGGCAAAAGCTGCTTTCCAGACTCATTAAGGAATCATTCCTGTTTTCTGTATTTATTTAAACATATTTTTATTTAGAATATACCCAAGCTGCAACTCAAAGGTGTGATTTCAGCTGCTATTGATATATGTATATATATAGCAGGGCTAGTTTTAAACTAAGTAACATGGGTACAGACAAGAGTATAGCTGTTAACTGCCTGAGAACTTAGCCAGCGCTATAGAGTTTTTCAGCCTTTACAAGCTTTGTTTTTAAGGGAACATGAAGAATTAGTGAAATTAGGTTCCAAGGGAGCAGTAAAGGTTGTTAAAAATGGGATTTTTGTTGTGGTGACATATCACAGAAAGGTGTAAAACTAGAGTTTGGCAGTGCTTGCTTAACTCCAAAACGTGAAAATGAATAGAGAGAGATTCTTCAGCTAGCTTTCCTGGTTGGCATGCTGAACACAATGACAACCTGTGTTACCTCCCAGATTGTGTCTCCAGAGTATCCACTTCACTGGCTTGGAGCAGTTGAAGATTATTAAATCCTTTCATGCTAGGTTATACACTTTCAAAATTATTCCCAGTATGCAGAAATCGGGTCCCAAACAGATTTTCCTCACATGGTGATCTCAGTACGTTGCTGTGCGTTTCCCTGCTTCCAGTTCCTGTCTGGACGCGATCCTGGGCAATATGCTCTAGAGGACCCTGCTTGAGCAGGGAGGTTGGACTAGATGATCTCCAGAGGTCCCTTCCAACCTAAACCATTCTGTGATTCTGTGATTCTGTGCGCAAATTAATCTCTCAGGTGTTTGTCAGAGCCAGGCATTTAAAACCTACTTAGGCCTGAGACGTTGCTAAACGGTCATTTCAACAGTCTTGAAAATTGTGTGTATCCCAGTTAAGATACTTGGTGTAGTGGAACACAGATCTCCTAGCAGTTTAATAAGGATAATGTACTTGCTTTAATCTGCTTGTTCTGTAAGAACAGTTTTTTTTTTTTTTCAGCTGAGGATGTATTGTGTAGTGTAATAGAAGCCAGTGGATATGCAAAAACTTTTCAAGTCTAGGCTTCCCAGAGATTCAGTTTGACCAGTCTAGCAAAAACTGAAGTACTGCTCATTTTGCTTTGAGTTACCAGTCTGACCTAGATCAAATTAAATGATGACATCTAACTGTGTAATGAAATTCGAGTGTAGACAGCTGGTAAACGGAAATGAACAGATTAACAGGGTAGGGGAATGTAGCAGTCCTGTAATCACTAATGCTGGATGGTACACCATCTTAAACAAATATGGTACACCATATTAAACTAATAGTTTAATACCTAGCGAGCATGAATACAATACTGACTTAGCCCAACTCTTTATAAATGCGCTGATTTTCCAGTTACTCCTGAGTCATTTTGATTCTCTGCGCTTGCCAGTCAGAGAGCATCTGCAGAGGAATCTTGAGTTACATGGTGTAGTTATAGCATATACTGGCTATAGGGCTGAAGTTAGTTGCCTTAAAATTTCCTGTTATCCTCATATCCACTCTCTCTCCACAGTTTCCTACCTATATGTTATGCTGAAAACCATATGTGGGACTGCATAGCAAATGAAATGATCTGGGTCAAAATAAACACCTCTCCAAAGAGAACTGTGTTGTACAGGCTGCAGAGTACGGCTGAGGAGGCTGCAGACTGCAGAGCTGGGAGATACTGAGGGCAGAATGGGGAGGAGAGACCCTCAGGCTGGCTTTCTCACTGGCACCAACACACGGTGTAACTGTACCCTGCTCAGATATAGAATTTAGTCTCATTTGGGCACCAGAGTGGGACTACATTTTATAAAAGAATTTAGCAGTTGAGGTGGTGGTTTTAGGGAAATTGCAGCTTATGTTACAATGGGAATTAAGAGTTGTGGAGCGCTTTTGAAAATCAAGATTTTATTTAGATGGTGATAAGAAGTGACTCTCCGAATTATGTCTAAAGTGGGCCATTATGTGGTTTAAGCTTCTCTGAACTACATTTGATTTTTTAATTCCTGTAGGCTAAATGGTATGTTTAACCATGAAAACCCTCTACACATACATACAGCATAGTCTATCCAGTTTTGAAATGAAACGATGAAAGCACTTATAAGTATCTTCTAACAAGGCAGAGGGAAGCAGGATAGTGTAATTCTAAAAGAGGAAGGTGCATTTTAGACGAGGAAGGACATGAAAGGGGTACATTCAGAGAATGTTAAGCTTCATACATGTCCAAGAAGTAGGATTATCCTCCATTTATTTAACTTGTTTATGAGTAAAAGGATGTACCTTTAAGAAATGGAGCCTGCATGCTCTTGTGGAACGGCATCAAACACTTAATTTCTGTTTACCCGTTTCTTACCGGCGGTAAGCCTGTCTCTGACAGATGGAATTGTAATATCAATAATCCGTCTCTTCTCTTAGGAAGAAATTAGGGTTCTAATTGGTAGGATTTCTTTAATGGGTGTTTTTGTAGTTGAAGAGATCAAATACATATACAAAAGTATCTTTAAGCAACAAGACGTTAGGGAAAAAAAGAAAGATGGAATCCTGCAACACTGTTGAACAACTGGGCAAAATCTGTGAGGTTTTGCAAGCACTGTCACTAACAGACTTCTAGACTACATCCACACTAACAAGTTAAACAGTGCCAGAAAATGTTATTGGGACTAGGCATTGACTGTCTTCTCCTTGGCACGGTTTTGGCCTGGTCAGCTCTCTTGAACAATTCTAGTGTGGTTTGGGAGTTAGCATGGTCCATGGACCATACCCAGTAGGAAGTCTGTATGTGGCCACCCAGTTTTGGAGGCTGAGAGAGGTAACTGGTATTGACAGGCACAGTACAGTGTCAGCTCACCTCTGTGCCAGAGCCTGGAAAAATGTGTTCCAGTAGCCAAGTAGCTTTATCATCCAAGTCTGGAGTGTTGGGATGGGGCACTAGTTTCTTACAGGCAGTGAGTTAAGGGCTTATGAATAGCAGCAGCAAAATATCTCCCCAGCTTCCCTTTGCCTCAGCACACATCTTTTCCAGGTAAGGAGCTGTCAGGACTGACTTTCCATGCAACACCTGTGGCTGCTGTTATCTCGCCTCTTCCCTCAATCTACAGAGACAGCACCCTCGCCTCCTGTCACTACAAAGACTGGCACACTGAACAGAATCAGCAGAGGTATGAAAACTTATAAAAGCAAATTTAAAAGAAATGAAAAGAGTGCATGAGTAGCTGGGATACCGGTAGAGCATGGCATTTTATGTACATTTGCTGTTCATTGCTGACTTCCGTAAGAACCAAACATGATCAAGAAATGCTTCTATTTAGGGCTCTACTTGTGACAATTTTTTATGTTTACATAACACAATGTCGAATACGCTAGCCCCGCATTTCTGAAGAGACTGACTTCAAGTACTGGGTGGAATTTCTCAATGTGTTAGACTTGTGCGGGGTTGGAAGGATTCAGATTAATCAAAATGCCGTTAGATGTGTCTAGTCTACAGAGCTGCACCGTATGGGCTAAGTGAGAGCAATCGCACCTAAGCTGCTTTAACGCACTTTTTGGAGTCTCAGAGTGGGTTAGGGTGCATATGCGTACATAACCTTATTTTGCACATACTGGGCATAAAGGCCATTCCAGCCGGAGTTACATTACTGATTTACCGATTGGTTCACACTGAAGTAGCGACGAGACTGCTGGAGCTTCTGCTAGCGTTGTTATCCCCTTTTGCCGCTTGCCTGCAGGCCTGACTGAGCCCCAGCCAGCACACCTCAGGCTCGACAAGCCTCTCCAAACCTCTGCAATGCAAAGCCTTACTATAAAACGCCATATAAAACTATAAAACGCCCGTTTCCAAAAATGAACACGAAGTTGCCACTTTGCTGGACTCTCAAGGCACAAAACATTACTGCAGGCTGTTTGTTTCTAGGAGTTTGCTCTGCAGTTACATCTGCCCGACGATGTCGGGTACAGGGGCTGCTGTGCAGCGGGGT